TGAGTTGTGCTTGTAAAGGGTCGCTAGATGTCTGAGTTATTATAGGCAGTGTTGGCAATGTTAGATTCCTTGGGTTGTGATTTTCCTTCTATTACTTTCTGTAAGGCTGGATTTGTGGCTGCAAATTGTTTAAATTTGTTTTTATCCTGGAATATTTTGTTTTCTCCATTGATAGTGAACAATAGCTTGGCTGAGTATAGTAGTCTGGGTTTGCATCCATGGTCTCTTAGTTTCTGCAGTACCTCTATCCAGGACTTTCTGGCTTTCATGGTTTCCATAGAGCAGTCCGGTGTAAGTCTGATTGGTTTACCTTTATAAGTTACTTGACCTTTTTCCTTTGCAGCTCTTAATATTCTTTCTTTAATCTGTATGTTTTGTGTTTTGATTATTATATGGCAAGGGGATTTTTTTTTTTGATCCAGTCTATTCGGTTTTCTGTATGCTTCTTGCACCTTCATAGGAATATCGTTGTTTAGGTTGGGAAAGTTTTCTTCTATAATTTTGTTGAATATATTTTCTGGGCCTTTGATCCACAATTCTTCTCCTTCTTCTATCCCTATTATTCTTAGATTTGGGTTTTTTTAGTGTGTCCCAGATTTCTTGAATGTTTTGTGATGAGAATTTGTTGGATTTGCTGTTTTCTTTGATCAGAGCTTTTATTTTCTCTATGGCATCTTCAGAATCTGAGATTCCTTCTTCTATCTCTTGTATTCTATTGGTTATGCTTGATTCTGTAGTCTCTGTTCCTTTACCTAGATTTTCCATATCCAGCCTGCCCTTGGTTTGTGTTTTCTTCATTGCCTCCATTTCAGTTTTCAATTCCCTGAACTGTTTCCATTACCTGTTTGATTGTTTTTTCTTGGTTTCCCAGGGTATCATTTACGGATTTACTCATTTCTTCAAATTTTTTGTTATATTTCTCATCCATTTCTTTACTCATTTCTTCAAACTTTTTGTTATACTTCTCATCCAATTCTTTAAGGGAGTTACTCATATCCTGTTTAAGGGACTCTATTGCTTTCATAATGGCACTTTTTCCCACTTCTTCTGGATTAAGTTGTTCAAGTCCCTCTGTTGTAGGGTTGTTGAGATCTGGTGTTTTCATGTTGTTTTTCAGATTGTTGAAGGAATTCTTGCCTTGGCATCTGCCCATCTCTTCCTTCAAATGCTTTCTATTGGATCTTCTGATACCGGATCAGGTTCCCTTGTTGGGCAGGAACCTCACTGACAGAAGGCCTACCTTTCCGCAGGCAGGCTATTGAAACACAGGAACTCCCTCCTGCTGGGTTGCACTTACAGCCCAGTCCCAGCGCACAAGGCAGCTGAGTTGGGGGATTTTATTGCCCCAGGGTGAAGGGAGGAATAAAGGAAAGGGTACCTGGATGAAATCTGGGGATTGGGTAGGAGGCGAGAGAGCTTAGCAGGGTGGAGCAGCCCCTGCAGAGTGACCAGGGAGTCAAGGGGGTCAGGGAATGTCTGAACTTCTTCTTGCCGGGCTTCTGCCGCGGGTCAGGAGCAAACTCACCCCTCCGATGGATGTCCGCTAGAGCAGACCAGGCTATCCTTGAACTCACAGAGATCCACTTCAACAGTCAAAGTTTTGAGTGGAACCAGCACTTAGCCCCCGATTCCTTAAGGGTCTATAGGAGAGACTGAAGTCCATTCAAACAAAACTGCTGTTTCATGATTTTTGTAATGTTTTATTCTGTACAAAATTTAAAACTTCGTCCTTGGGATAAAACATATATTGTAGGGACCAGGAATCCAAAATATACTTCCAAGGTCAACTCCAACTGAAGAACTCAGGATGTCTCTTATGTCCTTGTCTAGCAGACCCACTCACACAAGACAGCACTAACGAGAACATAAGTGATATAGAGGAAGCGGTATGCAAGTGCTGGGGCGCTGTCATTGAAAACCAGCCGTGAAAACTGCTCCTCACAGGTAGAAGAGGGGGAAAGCAGTTTGCTATTGGATAACTTTAAGCCACAGAGTGAGGTGCATTCCAGGTGACCTGCTGAAGAGCCGAAAACAGGAGGGAAGCTCAGCCTGCATTTCTCTCTGACCTACAGCTCTTGTGTGGGTAGGAGGATTTAGCTGTCCTACTAATCACACAGGTGATCGGGAACTCACCTCATGGTGGAGGAACCACCTGTGTTTGCTCAAGGAAAAATCAGTTTATTTCTCTGTGACATGTTTGCGACTTGGAAATAATAAGTCAGCAACTGAAATTAGGCTTCTAACACGTTTGGTCTGGGGCAGCAGTTCTCAGTATGTAGGACTCCACCCTCCAGGGGCTGTGTATCGGATATCCACAGCACGATCCATAACGTTAGCAGTATTGCAGCTATGAAGTAGCAGTGCGAATAATTCTACGGTTGGGGTCACTACAACATGAGGAACTGTGTTAAAGGATCAAAGCATGAGGAAGGTTGAGCACCACTGTTCTAGGGCACAGAGGCTCCATTCTTCTTGATGATTGTCCTTGCGAGTTGGTCTGTAGGTCACCAAAGAAGAATTGTTCTTCTTTATTTCTGTATATGTCCAGAATTAAGTGAATACAAATTAAGGTTGTAAGGACTTAGCAGTACACCCACCAGAGTGACGAGAATTTAAAGTAAGTGACACCTCCAAGTTCTGACATGGTGCAGAGCGTTGCGTGTCTGCCACAATCTCCTGGAGAAATTATTCGACCTACTTGTACAGCATGATAATTACATTCCTAGGCAACTATCCAGCTGGAATGCCTCTTTCATCAGAAGATAGTCAAGCATGCTCAGGGTAGCAGCAATTGTAAAAACCTCCAACTAGAAGTACTTCAAGACAGCAGAGTTGAATAAACTGTCAAATTGTGGTGCATATACAGTAGACTATCAGAGCAAAGAAGGAACACCTCTGTACTTGGGAGTCAGGTGAATCCCACGTGCATAATGTTGATCTATACAAACCATTTGCAAAATGAATCATAGTATATAACTCCATTTGTGTAAAAGTTCAAATACAGGAAAAGTAAATTAGCTAAGTAAAAAAAAAAGTGTGTCTTACAAGAAATCATGAAACTAAACAGGGGGGTTATGAGTTTTGTGCTAATATTTGGGGCCACCTAGTAAGAATATGCCTCATAAATAAATAAATAAATAGTTAGAAACATTGGTAGTGGAGGGACTGCCAGGAAGCACATGTAAAAGAGGATGATGCAGGAGGAATCTGAGTTTGATGTAAGAAAATTACAATTTTGTGGAACTGAAGAGATTGCTTAGTTTGTAAGGTACTTGCTGAGCAAACATGAAAACCTGAATTCAATCATATACCATGTAAAATGTGGCAGATACCTCTAATTCCAGTGCAGACTGGGTGGAGACAGGAGGATCTGTGGAGCTGACTGGCTAGCTAGCCTAGCCCATCTGGGAGTACCCTGAAAGACCAAGACTTAAAAAAAAAAGCAGAGACTTCTAGACTCCACATACATGCAAATGTACGTGTACCTGCACACGTGATCACAGACATATGTACAAAATTTGGAGGCAAGGTTGGTAAGAGAGTTCCCTCAGGAAACATGAGAACCTGAGCTTGAGCCCTAGAACCCATATAGAAAAAACCGTGAGGTGTGGTGAGATGTGATTGCTATCTCAGCTCTGGGAAGATGGGGGTGAATGCATCCCTGGGGCCCACGGGCCAACCTGCCTAGCCTACTCGTCAAGTTCCAGACCTTTGGATTTCATGGGCACACACACACACACACACACACACACACACACACACACACGAATGGGAAGAGAGAGAGAGGGAGAGAGAGAGAGAGAGAGAGAGAGAGAGAGAGAGAGAGAGAGCGCTCAGGGCAGCTGTTACCTTTGAGAGGAGAGAAGAGACATGGGAACATTCAGTTGCTTGGTGTAATTGGTATTGATAAGGTGGGATTTCTTCATGACAATTCAGTAAAATGAACTGAATTATTGCATATTTTTCTGAGTAGAAAATTCAAATACAACATTTATTTTTAAAAAGCATAGCCAATATGTTAAGGCATAAATTAAACATCATATATATATATATATATATATATATATATATATATATCAATTTGGGGGGATATTATTATACAGTGTGATTATGATTCATGAATTTAATTTTAGCACAAATAAACAGAATTCTTCTCACAAAAATCTGAAACAAATTGATTCACATTGACAAGCTTTGTAAACAAGAGCTGCATCCTACAGTTGTTGTTGTGCTGGAGAGCTTACTACCTTCAAACACTTTATTCTAGTACTCAGGAGGAAATCTAGCGCGTGACTGCGAAGTAGGTAAGTTCATCCTACCTTCCCTCTCTGTGTGTGTGTCTGATTCCCTGCAGACTTTTCTTACACTGGGCTGTGCTGGGTTGGCAGCAACCAAGAGCTTTCTCAGGGACTGAACTAAAATTCTTAGGAATGAAAAGTAACAGTTGGACCCAGGTCAGCGTCCAGCACTCACTCAGGCTGCTCACAAGAGCCTGGGACTCCGGCCCCAAGGCCTTCAACACTCTCTTCTGGTGTCTACAGGCAATTGTATATATTGTGTATACCTCCTGTATACACACAATTAAAGCTTTTTTGTTTTGGTTTAGGTGAAACATTAAACCAAGTTTGGTTTAGATGTGTCTCCATATTGGTTTGGCCCCGTGCAGACTCTGTACGCTGTGAACTGTAACTTAACATGATGTGCAAATAAGTTGTAACCTAATCTAAGAGTAAACCTTTGTAACTAAGCAACTGTGTCTCAGCCAATCATCGCAGCTGCCAAAACATGACCATACAGGACAAATGTCAGTTGCAGCCACTCAAGTCTTTCTGTCCTTGCTGCTTTTCTCTGACTGTGAATATAACCTGCACTTTTGGGTGGGGCTGACATCTTGAACATCTTTGGTCTGGGGTGCTGCTTGATTTCAGAATCTCATTTCCTTGTTCAACTACTCTGCTAAGCGCCTCCCCCTTTCTTGCTTTCTTTTCAGCAGCAAACACATTCTGCCGGAGCAAGCTGTCCTCCTCACACCCCACAGCTGCCATGAGGTGGGGCTGTATCTTACCTTGGCTTTGCAGTCACCTTTTCAGGTGTCTTGGCTGAGAGTCTCAGAAAACACTCCGTCCACCCTCAAGTGTGGAAGAAGGTCAGGAAAACGAAAAGAAGCAGAATATACTGAAACCGAGTTGGCAGCTGGAATATTAACAAGAAGCCAACTCACCCATGTTAGAGATCTAGCTGCTGCAGGAGTTCGGTCGTAGAACCTGGCAGCACGAGAGCCAGTGCAGAGCCATCTGGTCTTTGGGATTGTTCCTGGACAGACCAAGAGCTTTGCTTGCTAAGAATCAGGTCTCCGGAGGAAGCCTGATGGTTTGTGAGTTGGGATTTTCTGCCCGCGCCCTGGCTGTACTAAGGGGCATGGAGTGTGAGGGGTCTTTAATTTTTAAATTTTGTTCATGTGTATGTGTGTTTGCCTGCTTGTCTGTATGTGTGCTGTGTACATGCGCACTATGTACAACCAAGTACATGGGAGGCCTGAAGAAGGTGTCAGATTCCCTGGAACTGGAGTTACGGGGGTTGTGAGCTGCCCAGTGTAGGTGCTTGGAATCCAACCCAGGTTCTCTGCAGTAGCAGGAAGTGCTCTTAACTGCTGAGCCATGTCTCCAGTCCCTTGAGGAGAGCTTCCCATTTCAGTTTTTACTGTTGACTAAAGCAGTAAGATTAGGAAATTTCCCCCAAAGATACAGTAGAATCAGGGACTTTCTCAAAGAGCAGTTAGAATGCCATTTTGAGAGAGTTGTCCGATCTCTTAGTGCTAGAACTGGTAAACTCTAGAATGCAGTCCCTCTTGCTGCAGAGATGGATTGGTAGCTGGTTCTCGCCAGCAGCTTAAGTGCTAAGTGTGGTGAGAGTCTGAGGACTCAGCTGCTACCTAACTTATTCATAAACTTGGTTTCTGGCTCTACTCCAGGATCAACCACCTACTGTTCCTTTGCCCTGGCAACTCTCCCAGGAGGGCAGCTGTGCTGCTTAGAAGCCAGCCCCACACTTGCTTTCCCAACAGTGGATTGGGCATCTGGGAGGCTACGAGACAATCATCTTATTGACGAGAGGTGGCAGCGAGAGGGCCAGAAGCTGCAGTGAGGCTGTGGGAGTAGTAGGAAAAAGGAAGGTTTTTAAAATATTTTTTAATTTGTTTATATTTATTTAGTGTATGTGTGTGTGAGAGAGAGGGAGACAGGAAGAAGGAGGCAGTGTTTTTATTTAGAGTTTTCATTTCTTTCATTTGAACTTAGTTTTCCCAACATGGTGAAGATTTTGGTGTGATAAGTTTAGAATTTAGCAATAACTAACACTTATAAAGGAATTATTTTGCACCAGGAACACCATGTTTATACAGACTCTCTGACTTAATTCTCAAAATTCTTGTTTTTGGGTGACAAAGCCGAGGCTATAGAAGATTCTGTGGCGTTCTTGAGGCCAGCAGTTTATAACAGAGATCTTACAAAGGGCGTGGTTCTGAGCCTTGAACATCAACTTCTATTTTAAAGATGTATATTTAATTTTAAAAAATTGTTCTTGGTGTTTTCTTTTCTTCCCCCAACATAATACTTTTATTATTTGGGAGTTTCACATAATGCACCCTGATCACATTACTTCCCAGTCCTCTCAGGTCCATGCCTACCCTTGTGACTGTCCCTAAGAAAAAGAGCAGAAAAACAAGACCAAATTGTGTTGCCCATCCCGCCAGTGGAGCATGGTCAGACTCCCAGCGACCAGCCCCTTCCAGAGCACTGCGCTCTTCTCCATCCCTCACCCCCCCAGGAGACATCAGTTGCGGAGAACTACACTTCAGGATTCTTACCATTTTGAAGAGTTCTCTTCAATGGCTTCCTGTCTAGACTGTTTCTTTTGGTGGGGAAGGGCAGAGGGTAGGGGTGTTGTGCCCAGATCATGACCCCCAGAGAGAGAACACCAGAGAGGCCCAGACTGTAATAAGCAAGGTTTAATCAGCAATAATACAAACATGTTTGGAACTCATCTCCATCCCTGTTACAACGAGGTAGAGAGGAGTTGTATCTCCTCTGTGGGGTAAGCTTTTAAAGACATAACAACAAAGAGAATCTTTGAAGATGCTTTGGCATGGGTACAAGGACTTTTGCTCCCTCACATTCTGTTAAGTCAGCTTTTTCCTTGTTTTTAGAGCAAGGCCATTGTTCTTGAGTTAGGCCATCTTTATCAGCCTGTACCAGGTGGCTGGCTGGGCTGAGCTAAGTGACCTTGTGCTCAGAATCTCCTGGGTGGGAGAGGAGAAGGCCACTATCTTCCTGGGAAAACATTCTGCTAGGAAATTTCTTCTTGCCCCTTTGAGAATAAGGGGTGAGGGTCCCACAGGGGGTGTGAGGAAGAGGTTGCCAGAGAAGCCTTCTACGTCTCTCATTCTCAACTGTAATTTCCGTACTCATTGATGCCACTGCAAAAGACAGTTCCTTGCCCCTTTCAGTCAGCAGCAGCATGGATCAGGGACTTCTCCAGCATCAGCATGGACCTCGGACCTCAGCATGGTCTCTGGTGGCAATACAGACAACGCACATAAATATGGCAGCTGGCAGCGGCACAGGACACAGACATCCACATGGCACCCAGCTACACAGGACCACAGACATCAACATGCCCTCAGGTGGATACTCAGGCCCCATGAATCATTACGGCCTCCTGTGACAGATCACAGATATCAGTATAGCCTCCAGAGGTAGCACAGATGATGGATGGACAGGCCATGGACATCAATGTGTCCATCCACATGAACCTCAGGTACCAACACTAGCCTGGAGAGGAAGCATGGGCCACAGACTCCTGCCAATGCTCTAGCTGTAGCATGGAACACAGATATCTTGGCCTCTAGGTGCAGGAAGGTCCCTGGAGGTCTTTTCCAGTTAATGAATCATTCTCCATCTCAGGCGTCCAGTCGTTGCTTAGAGCCAGGGTGATCAGGAGGCTGGGCCGTGTGTTGGAGAGAGTGGGGAGAGCTTGCACAAGCTTCGGGCTGCTGCACACCACCCTGTAAGCCCAACAACACGCTCCCAGTCCACTGCAGCCTTCTTCCACACCTGCGGCTGCCATTGGGTCCCCAGTTCTGCTCCTCTACTGTGCACCCGCTGCTCCTTCCTCCATCTCCCCCACCTCTCCATCACGTATTTGTTCACTGGAGTGACACTGGACGCTGCCATGTGTCTCACAGTAAGTATGCATCTTTGCCCAAACGACTTTACACGACAATACTCGCCGCAATGCGTCATTGCTCTGGTTCACGGTTTCTGGTTCTAAAGCACCATAAATACTGGACCACTGCCTAGACTTGACTCAGGTATCCTGCTGTTGTCCAGAATCAGCGTGATCTTGTAGCTAGGCCGGGCATCTGGGCACATCTCTCTACCCTCAGTGCACCCTCAGTGCAGGTCACCCCAAGACTTACAAGGCATAACCGTTGTGCTTGCAGCTTGTGGGCATCACCACTTCCTGAGCTCTCCTTCTTTGAGCAGAGCAAACAGTGTGGGTGGCCATCACAGTGACTCTATGCTGCAGGTGGAGGACTGGCCCTATATGGCAATGTCTTCTTCTTCGTCTGCTGCAGCTGTGCTCTCCCACATCACCCCTATACACATTGTCTCCACAGCTCCTCAATGGTGACTGCTGGGCTGCCTGCAAGGGTCATAGGGGGCACCATCTCTGCAGCAGGGGTTCCCATCCCTGTAGAGAACCCTACATGGCCATGGCGGGTCCTCAGCCATGACCTGTTGCAGGATACCCGAATGCTTTTGGTATTTTCTAACTCTTCATACATTCAGGTAAAATGCATAAAAGAACCTTAGGGAAAGCTAAACAGCAGTGATCTCTGCTCAGGACTCTCAACAGATGAGGACTTTGTGGTTTAATAATGTGTGAATAGGTTACCTGGAATTATCACTGTTATTGCTATGGACACAATCTAAATTCAATCTTCTTGGCGGGGGAGTGGGTAAATTTAAAATGGTCAGCCTTCATCTTCATGGGAGACTGGGTCTTAAGAAAACAAGATTTTTGTTTTTATTCTCTAAGATCTGTTAAAATGTAAAAAGAAGTAAAATTTGGAAGACTGTCAAAATTGTTATACCCAAATTGATGATAAAAGCATCTCCCATTCGTACACGTGACTGGCTGTCTTCCGGCTACACGTTTGGAGGAAGGAAAGACAGGAACTCAGCTGGAGGTACGAGACAGTCTCCACCCATGAACCATTTCAGTTTGGGCGGAGCTGGCCTCAGGGCTGTGCTCATGGGAAACAATTTCACTACAGTAGAGTTGGCTAGAAATTTACTTTTGGCACCTTGCTTCCAATTCAGGATCTTTCAAAATATATGACTATAGCTTTGCTGAAGTGTTTACTGGGTCTAACAGCATCAGCACACTCAACTGTTCTATGTCTTCTAGAGGGAGTGACCAGTGGAAGAAACGGGGAAGAAGGATGGGCAGGGGTAATGGGGTATGTCAGGCCCAACCCCCAGATTTTCAGTATTCTCCGCACCCCACTCTCGCTGTGCTTCCTCCACTCCTGACAGAAATAACTGGGACCGAGAAGTCCTTGACTTAGAAAGAGTCAGGTAGGCATGTTGGTGCCTACCCGAGGAAAGAGGGTGAGACAAGATGATTGTCTTGAGGTCAAGGATAGCTTGGGCTACATAGTGAGTTCCAGGCTATCCTGGGCTACAGAGTGAGACTTTGTTTCAAACACACCACTTAAAAATGTAGTCTGGGGGTCAGACCCAGTGCCCCCAAGATGTTCCCCCCAAACTGTTTAGAGACAGGCAGAATGCTTATGATTTATGGGAGACCCCAGAGTCAGACCACCAGTGCCTTTAGATTCTATATTTATAAATTCAATCAATAACCAAATCATTCACATACACACACACACACACACACACACACACACACACACACACGGTCATACCAACATGCATATGCACAAAGCATGTGTTGACTGTTGGATTATCATTACTCTCTAAACAAAAGGCAAAACAACTCCTCCCACAGCAATTGCCCCAGATTAGCAGTTACAAACCATCTGGTGAATGCAAATGCACAGGAAGAAGTGTGTGAGTTAGAGACTAATATTCTGTCAATTTGTATTCCACACCTGAACCTTGGGAATCTTGGTGTTATGGGGGTGAAGTGAGGGGTGAACTTGGGACCAGTCCCCCTTATACCAACGACACGTGCAATGGAAAAATACTTAGTTTTTTTTGGCACTTTATTGTGTATGTGTTTGTATGTACAAGCGTGTGTCTACATGTGAAGGTCAAAAGACATGTAGCAGGAGTTGGCTCTCTCTTCTATCACACGGATAACAGGGACGGACTTCAGTTCTTGCTTTTTCCTTTACCTGCTTAGCCATCTTGTTGACCTGAGAAACACTTTTTGTCATCCTTTTATTACAGAAAGAATTGCTTTTCCTCAGACTAGACTGGTACCATCTGTTATTCCTACAAGACTCAGAGACAAACTTGCCTCCACCTGTACCTGCATTGTATGACCTTTGGCTGCTGATGCAAAGAGGAGAAGAGATGGCTGCAAGAAGCAAATTTTCACAGTTGGCAGGAGTGAACAAAGTCACAGAGCATGCGGTTTTTTTTCTTCTCCAAGTTGGGGGGACATGGGGACAAGAAACTAAGAAAGAGTACAGGATCCTTTGATATGCTTTAGCTTCTGAGTGTCCTAGGCTTTAGGGGAAATATGCCCCCAGGGGTGCAAGGGAAATTGCTCTTATCACAGTAGCCCCTGTCTGGGACCGAAAGCTCAGCCTTGTAGAGGTCCAGCTGCTCCTCAGCTGCTTTCGGAATCCACTGGCTACTTCCCATCCTGTTTGTGAGGGAAGCTAATAGGGTCTCTCTGCAGTTCTGCAACCACTGGCAGTGTTTTGAATGGCTTGAGAGCTAGGAAAACAAATCCTTCATCATCTTTTAAATGCAGTCACCTTTTCCAGGAATGTGCTGACATGCCCGCAACCCCCTGCCGTGTCAGACTGTAGAAGTGGTGTGATCATGGTCATGTGGTACGCTGAAGGGAGGATTCTGGACACCAGGGGCTGATCAGCCAGCAAGGCACAGGCTTGTTCCATGGCAGCAGACGGCTGAGAAATGATGTGAAGCAGACGGAGTAGGATCCTGACCATCCTCTTCTCTCTGCTCTGTCTGCCTGTTAGGAAGGACAATCTCTTTGCTGAAGCTGCAGAACTCTAGCTCAGAAAGCACTCCTTGCTAGCCCTGGACACAGGACAGCACACCCCCATAGATAAAATGGAACCTACTGAGCCTTAGGAATAAGAGAATGACTTAAGAGAGAATACAAATTTACTCTGATGTCTAGATCCTCATCTTTCATCCTGTTTTGTGGTAAGGCAAATGTCACAGCAGGGAATGTTTTCTGGTCCTCTACCGTGCATGCTGAAACACCTCCATGTCTTCACAAGCGCCGCCTTTAGTCACTACCTCACTTAGCGGGAAGTATGCCAAGTCACCATAGTTGAAGAGAACAGGGGTGGAGGCTGTAACTGTACCAATGCAGAGGGTATGATGCGTGAGTGTTCTCAAGCTGAAACAGGATGCTGTTCTCACAGACCACTCACTGGCCTTTGCACGTCTGCACAGTGCAAGCCAAGCCGAGTAACCAATGGACGATTCTGTTTCCTCCTCCCTCCCTCCTCTCATTTGACTGGACAGAATCTCATCTTGTAGCTCAGGATGGAATCAAGCTTAACCTCACTCTAGAGTGCTGGGTGTATAGGCAATATGTCCACAGAGCAGAGTATTTCTTATGAATCGTCATCGCCATTTTTTTCAGTTGTAAATTGCTGCTCTGTTAGATTAACAGAAGAGTGCTACATTGTGCATTTAGGCCATGAAAGCCAACGGAAAGCACTTGAAGCTTTGGGGCCAAAGGTGTCAAAACCATATAAAATACTCAACAATGGCTATTGGATTTTCCAGTGATTTCTCTTTTATGGTTAATTTTAGCATATGAATTTATCTCAATTCCAGACAGAATCATAAATGAAAGCCAAAGACAAACCTTCAGATGTTCAAGTCCCCAACAGGGAAGCTCTTCCAATGTTCCCTCTTGGCTTGACCTAAGTTTCTGCTCAGACTGGGAATCCACAGGGCTCCCTAGGGTGAAGAAGTGTGGGGACAGAGAAATGCACACAGAAGGAAATGTGGAGGCTGATGACACAGCCTCATTCTCTGTCTCTCCTCCCCCCTCATTAAATTAGATGCCAGAAAGATGGCTTAGTGGTCACAGTGTTTGCTGTTTTTCCAGAGGACCAAACTGGGCTTTTCAGCACCCGTGTCAGGCAACTTTCAACAGTCTGAAACTCTGACTCCGGGGGACCCAAAACCCTCTTTCGGCCAACACAGTCACCTGCACACATGTGCACACACAAACATGGACACACACACACACACATAAATAAATACTTTTCAAAAACCTAAAGAAATTAAACTGTTCTTTTCTTCAACCCACAAAATCTCCTCCCATATCAATTTATAGATGGCGTCTTAGAAAGATCTGTTTTCAAATCCTCTGTATTCTGAGAATAGGCACTCTGCTCTTTTCTCTAAACAAATGTTTCTAATGATATAGCCTAGTTTTTGGTTTTTCTGCTTGGAAGTACTAAATATTGGGAAATTGTTTACAGGGTGTTACACAGCCTTGGTGAGCACTCTTCTGGCCACAGCCTTTGGTACACACTGTGAACGCAGTTTGTCTTGTGTGCGTTGGGGACAGGAATATTGACACCGCCTGGGGAAACACTGCACACATGAAGTAAGGACCCATGTGCTTTCTCACTCAAGGGATCAGAGGTAAATGCCTAATTAAAAGGCAAAAAGACACAAGGGGAATAAAGCTTGGAGAGTTTCAGAGTTCACTAGAAACTTCTGCAGGATTCAGCCTCCTGTTTTGGTAGGGCAGTTGCTAGCTCATTTTTAAGTGTCTTGCCAAAAGCCATGGTTTGCCATAACTACAAATCATAAAGCAGGAAGAAGTCAGTCAAGTGGAAATGACTATGAAAAAATAAATCATGAATTAGTTTTTTACAAAGTCCAAACAAGGAAGGATGTATTTTGAGCAAAGTTTAATTTATTCATGCTTCAAAAGGCAGCAGAGTATCTGATAACATAAGTGACTCCATAATTGATACCCAGTCACAGACAGCCCAGGACTCAACTCCAGAGTTTCAATTCTTGCTTTGAGGGTTTCTTGGGAAGAGCGTGAAGCCCAGCTGTGTGAGTAAAGGCATTTCTGGGTGTCATTTTGGTGGAAGGGAGTTAGCCAGCTTCCCCTACCTTGTTTCTAGCACTTGCGCGCCTGAACTCACATCCTCTTCTCAGCCGCTGTGCTGACCTCCAGGTCCAGATGCTTCCCTTCAGGGAAGTAAATGTTGGAAGGTCTCAGTCAGTGAGTAGATCCAGAACCCCCGGCATTGCAAGGCTCACTGCCCCTGCAGCCCTGCGGCCCCTGCGGCGGATTCAGAGTCAGGGCATCCAGTGACATGAAAGTAGAACCTCAGGGGTTGCCTAACAGTTTGTGAATGAATGACTGGGGTCTGGTGGTGGTGGTGGGGAGGTTACATGAAAGAGCTTATAGGTTCCACAATCCTATTTTAAGTCCACTTAATTCCCTGCGGCAACCCCGTTCCCCTACACCGACTGCTGAATCTGTGCTCCTTTGGCCACACCCCCACCAGTTTGCTCCACTTGTCTCTGGATTTCTTGAGCATCCCATCATGGCTTCCTGTCACCACTCATGCCAGCTTCTCATTCTGGCGCCTGCTGCCCACACTTCTTTAGTTTCTCTCCTGTGTGTTCCCTTGGTCAGGATTGCTGTCTGTCAGACTGACATTCTGTTCTTTCCCTTGCACTTGTGAGGCTGCTGAGCCGGGCCACCTCCCCATGACCTCTGTCGAGGGAAAGACGCTGCCACATACGAAAGGCATCCTTAATTACATTATACCATTGCTTTTGCTTTTTAAATTGCCAAAGCCATCTTACATTTTTTTAATAAATAATTTTATGTTTGGTCCTTTGGTAAATTTCTACCCCTCCTCCACTTCTCATTACAGATACAAAGTTATTACCAAACAACGATTCAGCTAGCGTTGACTCTGCTCGAACGGGTTTTTCTTCAACTTCCTGGAAGTTGAGGCAGAATTCTCAAGAACTGGAACTTAGGAACTACGTGGACTTTGGACATGGAGAGTCATCCCACTGGGGTTGCTGAAGAGACACGGCTAAGCAAGGAACGGACCGTCTGGGCTGGCCGGTGGTTCTGCTGCTGCGCTTCCTCCCAGGTCTCCTTACCTGCAAGGCTCGCAGCCCAAAGCTCTTCAACCCATCCAGAACTGACAGCCCTGTTTTCTCTCTCTGACAAAAGGCCTGTGGCAGTGGTTCTCCACCGATAGGTCGCGACTTTCTTGAGGGGGTAGAAACCACTGGAAAACATAGATAATTTACATCATGATTTATAACAGTAGCAAAATTATAGTTGTGAAGTAGCAACAAAATAATTCTATGGGGGTCACCACGTGAGGATCCCTATTAAAGGGCCGCAGCCTAAGGAAGGTTGGGAACCACTGGCCTAGAGGGATGTATTGGGAGCTACGAAGTTGTTCGGGGAGAGCTATGGCAGCTAAAACACGTTTTTACTGAATATATTTAATATTTAGCATTTGAAGTGGAAAATTTTCTGCTTATGCTAATATTTATTCTCAACTCTTAAATCCTGCATTCATTTTGCTGACACGTTAGCAGCTAAATTTTTATATTTTTCAGATTACTTTTTAGTCTTTCATTTACAGTTGAATGTCGACTGAATAACAGTCAATAACTGAAATATGAAATACCAAGCTTGTTAAAGTATTGATTTCTAAACGTCAACCCCTTCTTGTGGAGCACAGTTGTACTTTGAAACTTTTTTCAAATTGTATCTTACTTTTCTGTTTCTGAACTTCGTATTAGAAGCCAAAGTAGCAGCATCTGCTCTTTGATAGATTCTTTGACAATTCTGATTCATATCTGCTGTTCTTCAAATTTAAACTTTTAACTTAATTAAAATGCAGTTTGATTTAAATTGTAAATGAACTTTAATTAAATTTAAATTTTGTTTTAAAATTTAGATTAAATTTAAAAACACGTGCTGAAATGTAAATTAAAGTTAACTAGCTATTTGAGGACTTTGTGAGAATAATGTTAAATGTTGTTTAAATTCTGTGGGAAAAGATTTCATTTTTGTTATAATGCATCTTGGAAAATCAAAAGTTAAATATCAAGTGCCAAAGTTTTGAGTGCAAAGGAGTGTATTATGTAGGCATTTCCAGTGAATTTGCTATCTTTAATACCCCAGGGAAGCGGTCTGTCCTGGACTTATCTGCGAAACCCACTCTCCCGTACAGGGCGCGCTTCCCATACCGGACCACAAGTCTGGATCAATATCCTAGGGGTTGAAAACAGACACACGACACACAGAGAGTCTGGATCATTTGCCCAAAGGGTAAATGTCAACTTTATTTAGCACACGTAGGCTTATATACTTGGAGGCAAGAGGACGAGAGCCCCCTCCCACCTGGAAGTGAGAAGAGGGGTGTTGGCCCCTGGTGCCAGCGGCCTGAGCCTCCATGCAGGGGGTATCGAGCTGGGAACCCTGACAGACAGATGGGAGGAGATTTAGGGCACCTGTGAGGACCTTCTTAGCAGGTGAAATTACCATAGCAATGACAGAAACAAGGCTTTGAACTAATTCCCTCCAGCTGACAGAATGAGCAGGGAAAGCTAAGCTGGTTAGTGTAAACAATTCTTGCATCCTGTGCTTTGGCCTCCAGGATCAGGGAAGACAGGGCCCTACAGCGGTCTTGACAGCCAGGCCACCAAGTTCCCATGCTGTGTGTGAAGCACCCGCCCTGGCTCCTACAGGCTGAGATGAAGACAGAGCCTACATGGGGGCAAATCACAGGCGGGTGGAGAAATGACTTGGGCGTCAGTGTGGATGTAGGGGTGGCCCAAGTGATGCGTTAAGCCTAGGAGTCTGCTGGTGGGTAGTGCAGTATACGCTGGTGTCAGCGGTCTGTCGGTGACTACGGCTCTACAGTTGGCATAGTAGGCTGCCTCCTTCTCTGTACTGCTCGGCACTTCTCCCTCCTCCTTGAAATGATTAGACAGAAAATGGGTGGCCTGCCGTCAGTTGCTTTCTGGGATAATGTGTCATCCCTGTCTTGTTATGGAGCAAAGGATGAGCATGTCCTGACTTAACGTCAAGGATGCTTGCTGAGCCCAGCCGAGACATCCAGTGGCAGGCTGTCCTAAGTGCTCTCGGATTGCTTTGACTAGGAGTGATGTCAGTCAATAGGTCAGCTCGACACCTAACAAACCTCTGTGTGAGTTTCTGGATGGATTAAGAAGGGAAGACCCACTGTAACTGTGGACAACACCATTTCCATAAGTTGGAGTCCTGCCTGCAGAAACGACATGACCAGTCTCGTACTCTTGCTGCTGGGCTTCCCTGCCATGATGGACTGCAGTCTCCAACTGGAGTCAAAATCAATCCTTCCTTCCTTCCTTGCCTTTGTCAGTTACTTTGTCCAAGCAGAGAGACAAGTAAGTCACACACTGGGCTCTGTGAGCTTTGGTGTAGGTGCACTGGAATGCCATATTTGTGTGCTGGCATATTATGTCAGCCTTAGCTATGTATTAAAAAACAGCTCTGTCAAATTCCTCCCCTCCCCACTTCCCGACACCTCGTGCAGCTGTCACCACCAGCCTAGACGGATTATGGGGACTTTCCATCCTGCAGTGACCATCTGGGGAGCAACAGGCAGTTGTGTATGCATTCAGTCATGCCCCCCCCCAAACAGGCTACACCCCTGTCCCACCACAGCCTGGAGAAGAACGAATAAGTAAGGGCAAGGAAACTGGGGAGGCTTCCTCTGCTTTTCGCTGACCAGATATTCTGTCAGATTGTTCATCTCTCCAGTCGCTCCTCTCGTGCCCTCTCAGGCTCTCAGGTCAGTGTCTCTTAACAAGAGACATGGAGAGTTTGATGTGTGTACGATTCTATGTGTTTGTGTGTTAGTTTGCATATCTGTGTGTACGTGTGTGTATGCATGTAGAGGCCGGAAGTTGACAAAGTATATCTTTCTAATCTCTCTCCCCCTTGTATGGTGAGCCAGGGTTCCTCACTGAAGCTGGAACTCACCTCTTTCTCTGCACAGACCTCGCAGAGAACCTCCTGTCTGCACTGCCTCAGAGCTGGAATTATAGACGTGCAATGCTATGCCTAGCTTTTAAAAACTGTGGCTTCTGAAGCATCCAGCCCAGGTCCTTGCAGGGTAAGCATTTTACTGAATGAACACCCAGTCCTGTCCCCAGCTATGTTTTATATACAGTTTACAACCAAGGGATTCTCAACACATTCACCAAGTTGTATAAGAGTCCCCACTGCCAATACCAGAGCACTCTATAACACTCAAACAAAACCCCTTTTTCATTAGCAGCTACCCTCCTTCTCAAGGCCTTGGCAACACACCTTCTGTCTCTCTAGGTTTCTACTCTCCATCTCCAATTTATTTTCTGCCTCCATACATTTGCTTCTTCTGGATGTTCCGTAAAAATGAAATCACAATATATGGACTTTTGTTTTCTGACTTTAACTTAACATCGTGAGAGTCCATTGTGCTGTAGCTAACATCAGCACTTCACTCCTTTGCGTGTCTCAGGATTATTCTGCTGTATTGAGAAAATCACAAGGTTTATGCTTATGTCAGTTGATGGACCTGTTAGTCACTTCTATTTTTAGGATATTCTGGACAATTGCAGTATAAGCATTCACATCCAGTGTTTTGGGACATAGGCTCTTAGGTTTTACAGGTGATGTTTAAGGGTAGCATTGACAGTCATAAGTCATAGGCTCTTCAACTCTTGTCTAGTTCTTTTCCGAGGAAACTGCAGCATCTTGCTGTGAACGGTTCCCAATTCTCTATATCCTCTCCGACATTTGCTGCTGTCCTTGCTATTGGTTGTACCCGTTCCAGTGGGTGATGTCATTTTAACTCGGTTTCCATAGAGACAAAGGATGAGCATTTTCTGCACATGCTCATTGACCATTTATATATCTTCTCTGGAGAAATGTTTGTTCAAACTCTTGCTCAGTTAAAAATTTAGCTTAGCCGGGTGGTGGTGGCGCATGCCTTTAATTCCAGCACTCGGGGGACAGAGACAGGCAGATTTCTGTAAGTTCGAGGCCAGTTTGGTCTATAAAGTGAGCCTCCAGGACAGGTCCCCAAGCTACAGAGAAACCCAGTCTCAAAAAACAACAACAACAACAAAAAGTTTATTTTGATTTTCATGACTTCTTTAAATATTCTGAATACAACAGCCTTAGCAGATATATAATTTATAAAATTCTCTAATTTGTGAATTGCTTTTTACTCAAATGAAATTCTAAGCCATAAGATAATTGTTCCTCAAAAAGGGAGCAATTTCATTCAAATGGAAAGACAGGAAAGTCTTTATGCCAGAGATGACTTAAGTTAGGTATTGAAAAAAATAACATAAATAGGGTAACACTAAAAACCACTAAGACAAAAGCAGGCATTGCAATATGTATTGACTGATTAAGGAGGACTGTGGCTCAGCTAGCTGCCTTGTTTATATCTGTAGCTCTATAACCTGCCTTCAGCTGGAATCACCAACCAGAGCTGAAACATGTACTCCTCAGACCCTATATCCTAGCAATGCAAAATCAAAATCCTATAACTGCTTCAATGACTTCTTGACCTGGTAACCTCAGGCTGATGTCAATCAGAGCATGGGCTTCAAGAATGTCTGTTGCCTTGTACAAGACTTGCTGCTTCCTCAAGAGCTCCTCACTGAATTTCTTATGGACTTTACCTACTAGTTATATCAGCTAACTAGGTCTGTCTTCTTCTTTGCATTTTAAAAGGCATCTCTGTGCCATGAATTTGTTTGTGACGTCAGCATAACTTATTCCTCCTGTTCCTCATTTATTATTGTTTAAAGACAAGGTCACATAGCACAACTCTTCTGAAACTCCTGGTGCTCCTGTCTCCATGTTATGCCACCACTAGAGGCAAATGAGAGAGCAGTACCCTTTCTTACAATGTCTTTCTGCCCTCCAGAAGTATGACTTGACAGTTATTGACATATACAGTCGTAGTTACATAAGTATAAATAATAGAAATCACATCTTCCTGAATTTGTTGGAAGTTATTCTCAGAGACGTCAAGTACAAGTAATGAGGAAATTTTATAAAAAAACTGGCTTTCCTTTGTAAAATTTGGAACATGTATAGAACATCATAAAACTGACTTACTGATGTGTACATACAGGATCACAGAACCAGAACGAACTGTAATCCTTAGTGATTTTGAGCCTGGGATTCCTAATGATCCGATGTGGATGAGAATGAAGTAAGATAGCTAATCAATGCCAAGTACAGCAAACAAGCTTCTGACATTTAAAAGGGACAATGGCAGCAATGTGGAAGGTCAAAATGAGAGCATCGCACTTTGTGTCTGAAAGTTCACCAATGGGATGGCGTGGCCTAAAGAAGCAGAGAGCATCTGGACTCATTGCAGGACAGTGACGGTGGGATCTGCCTCGTGCTTAGACTGACAGCGGGGAGGTGGGACGTGACATCTACGTGCAAGTTATCCGTCAGGGGAGGAGAGGATGTCCTGAAAGCTTCCCTTTTCTGTTAACCTGAGGTTACGAGGAAGAGAGATTGTAATCCTTGCAGTCTGTTCTATTTTCTTCACAAATCTCTTGGGGTTAGGTAGACAAAGGAAATCAATATAAACAATGGGGGATTCTGATACATTTCGGAAATGGAAAACAATGTTCAGCAGTAAGAGTTGGACAGATCCAAACCGATATGAAGTAGTGGAAAATTCCACTACCTTCTGACTATTTATCTGCTTTCAGGATAACAATGAGTAGCAACTGGTAACACTGAAGTGATCTAATCAAGTATACCTATTTTTTACTCTATGGACCTAAGCTGCTTCCAAATCCAGGAGAGGCTGCCTTGCATAGGT